TACTGTATCAATGGGGGTTTGGATTCCCATCCTTGTTTATTCAGGAGTTGCATGGCCTGCATTTAATCCCAATGTCAGCAGTGGAAAGCTTTTACTTTATTAGGAAAGCTTTTCCATTGTGTCACTTTACAGACAGTTTCCAGTTGAAACGTCTTAAATTTCTACTGCAGATGTTTTCTGTCTAGGTTCCAGACCCCCATTGATACAGTACAAATAGCTTTCCCAAAATTGTAACGGTTATACTTTTGAAAATGTATGTTGACTAGCATACGAAACGTCAAGTTCATAAAATGCATGTTTTTAAAATGTTAATTTTATCACCGCTGTTTGTTTTATATTTCTACATATTACGTTACTAGCATTATCACCAAGGCTAACAACCCGGCGGCTAAATAAAGTTTTACTTTACTTACTTTTACAGTCAGATTTATCAGAAGGAACCTGCATCGTTGCCCCGAACACATTTAAGAAAAACTCTTGTTATTTATTAGTAAGAGACCATCTGTGTGGGGTTCACATACCCAAAAGAAAATTCATGACATCCAGATCTTGGGTATACAATTTATTATCGAATACCAGTGTATGTGATTTGCATACCTAAAAGAAAATTCATGACATCAAGATCTATGGTGCACAACGACAAGCCGCTCGTTTTGTTAAACATTTTCTCTTGGGGAGTTAGCTAATAATGATAACGCATCTCATTAAATCGGTTCTGCAGCCATTTCTCATTAAATCAGTTGTTATCAGTTCATGTGGAGCCGAGCCGGCTATTCCGCTGATACACACTACTTCCTACTTCTGTTTAGGGTTCTAGCAACATCGAGCAAGGTTTGCCTTTCTGAGCAACGTTTGAGCAAAATATAGGTTTAGAGTACATATCAAGCACGAAAAAAGTCAACGATTTCATAAAAAACTTCAATTTATGCTAATTTCATGAATGTTTATCAACTTTCAATTGAAGTGTGAACACATAACCTGTTACTTGACAATGTTCGGCAAAACGTCAAATGAACATGTGTTTTGTTCCGTAGAGTGTCAAGAGTGTCCCTAAAGTTCGCCCATATTTACGAGCAACTCTTTAAAGCTAAGTTTCAAGCTATTTTTGCTTGTCCGGTGTCAGCAATTATTGTGAAGAACGGAAAATAAAGCTTTTAACTTAAACGTTTATATAAAATATCAAGAAATTTAGGTAGCATTTTTTTGGATTTTTGGCAATTTTTTTTTAGCAACTTTTTAGCATTCCAGGGAGCAACTTTCTAGCATTTTACGAGCACAATCGGGAAAGGCGTAGACAGCGTCCCACAAAACCATATAAACTCTTAAAATTTTTATATCACTTTTGTGACAACAGTCAAATCCCGTCATTTAATTACCTACCATTTGAAAGACGCTGAGATGAATATCACGTATGTTTGCCCATTTTTAAGAGTATCACATAAATGATAAAAAAATTCTAAGAGTTTTTGTGGTTTTTCAGGGACGCTGTCTCAACATTAGAGACGTTTGTATGGATTTTGAACCATGTTTCAAGGTCCATAACATGGTCTCTGTTCACCCTAGCTAAAAGCATCAAACTTGGTCAAATGACTAATCTCAACATTACCAGGTCATGGGCTCCTGACACTACTTGGTCTTGGTACGGTCAGTTTATCGATTGGTTAAAATTTGAAACTCAACCCCGGTTTCCTGTGCAATTTCGGAATGGCTGATAAAGACTGGTGATGACAACATTTTCGCGCCATTTTCCGGGCAAGTTTGACCTTGTTGCAGTTGTGACACAGTAGTGGCCGCCATCTTTGAACGAGAGAAAGCGAAATTTTGTACGGATATTCAATGTCACAAAGAGAAAGACGGCGAAAAAAACCATGTGAGTACCAGAAAGTAAAAATGTTTCATATGCATCGGATGTTGTTGAGAGGACATCCTCGCACACCTCTGGTTGTCGGGGTTCAAATCGATTGAGTGTGACATTCAATGCATACGAAATGGAGACTTCCAAAGGCGTAAGCTTCCGAGGTAAGCTTACGTCCAGAAACGTGTGAAGACCAGGGCAGAAAGCACTTTACAAGGTCGTATTTAAACGAAGTTGTGTAACTGGGCTTGAGAAGAATTGTGATTTCCATATTGTTTCTTACAAAAAAAATCTTGGTGGTCACGCACTGACTTCGTTTCACAATTCAAAGATAAAGCGTGTGAAAAAATACCCTGATTATGCAAAATTGGAGCAGGTTACTCAAAATTATCACCATTGTTTTTAGTTCAAAATATTGAAGGTTAGTTAGATGCATGTTTTTGTCTCAAAACTGTTTTGTTAGTCAAATTGTGTTGTTTCCGAAAATATCTATACCCTCCCCAGGGAGAGTGTCATCATTTGAACCTCCTCACCCCTCCGCCATTTCAGTTTCCATTGACCTCCCTTGGGGTGGGTATAGATATTTTCTGGAAGCCACACATTTACTGTCACATTCTTGTTTTTACAGAGATGTGTTTGTCCTAGCCTTCTCCCATTCAAGTGGAAGATGCTGAGTGAAGAATGCAATACAGTATTGCATCCTTCACTTAAAGGGGCTCAGTCACGGTATTTTGAGTTATTTTGGCCGCATACAAAATTACCTTTAAATGGTAGGAAACCTAAAAATAAGAGTTTAGTAAGATGAAAAAACAACAAAGAGATAATGATTAACCATAAAGGAACAAGGATGGCTGAAGATGGAGAAGATTGACACGGATTATAAACGATGAATTTGAAAAATTGAGGCTAAACTTTTCAATATGCACAAACTGTGACTGAGCTCCTTTAACATCTTCCACGTCCACTAGAATGGGAGACGGGCAACCATTTCTCTGTAAAGGGTCATAGAGGAGAGCTTATGAAGTGCCCATTCCAAAAAAAATTCTCATTTGAAAGTCTACATCAAAAATTTTTGATTTGAAGTAAATTTAAATTAAATTTGAACTAAATTTATGGTGTGCCAGGCACTTTTTAATTGACATNAGTTTAGTAAGATAGAGAAACACCAAAGAGATAATGATAAACCATAAAGGAACAAGGATGGCTAAGGATGGAGAAGATTAACATGGATTACAAACAATGAATTTGAAAAATTGAGGCTAAACTTTTCAATATGTGCAAACTGTGACTGAGTTCCTTTAACATCTTCCACATCCACTAGAATGGGAGACGGGCAACCATATCTCTGTAAAGGGTCATAGAGGAGAGCTTATGAAGTGCCCATTCCAAAAAAAAATTCTCATTTGAAAGTCTACATCAAAAAATCTTGATTTGAAGTAAATTTAAATTAAATTTGAACTAAATTTATGGTGTGCCAGGCACTTTTTAATTGACATGTAAATAAAATTTGGTCTTTGTTGACTTTATCGGATAATTAAATTGCTACTATTATTATTATTGCGTCAATTTTAGCAAGCTCTGATGGGCAAGACACAACAGCGAATAAAGTTAAAGCAAAAAAGGCAAAAGTTGATACAAATGGAACGTTGGATACAGCAGCATCCGACACACGGAATCTTAAATCTGTAATTTGGGAGAGAGAAGCTGATAAATCCACATGGACAAAGTATTCTGCTGATCAAGTTACGATTATTAATGAAGCCTTCAAAAGTGGAAAGACAGAAGCTGATTTCACTGATGGCAAATCAGAAGTGACACTAATATTTGAGAGGATGGTCCAAAGAAATAAGAAGAGTGGATGGGAAAAAAGAATCCGTTGTGTTTTGGCAGATGGGAGTTCAGATCCTGATGAGCGTAAGTCAAATAATGTGAAATAAAAACATTATTGTCTTAATGACATTATTTTGCCCTTCCATTTAGGTGAAAATCACGATTTCCATCTGCTCATGATTGGTTCAACTTGGAATTTTTAGGTGGAATTGTCCATGTACATGTACTGTCTTTTTCATCTGATTAGCCAGTTTTGTTAAGTTTATATTCTCCCTGTTAACCTCTAGATCTGTTCACATCATCTATCATTATGAGATCTATCCTCAGAGGTAAATGTACCTTTATTGAGCGACCTGTTTTCTGGAGCACAATTTGTGGCTGAAGGTCTCTAGCAGAAAATGTTAAAGAAGCAGTGTCGTTTACTTTATGAACAAGTTCCTGTTATGTGATTTTTTTATACTAACAAATTCCAATGTGCAGTACCAGAAAATATCTATACTTTCCCCACAGAAGGGAGTTTCCTGTGGGGAGGGAGTTTTCCAAGAGCAAAAAATTTAAGAAGTGGATCAAGCTTAATTTGAATTTTCAGAGGGGTGGGGTTGGGGTCTTGGAAAAATCTCTTCCGTGGGGGAGGTATGGATTGGATATTTTCTGGAACTACACAATCTCCCACCTAGCAAAATTCACTCACTCTGGTGATTTGTTTTACTCAAAGAGCTGAGTCACTGCATCATTTTGTTTCAGATACTTGGGAATGGGAAGATGCCAAGGGTAACTGGACAGAATACTCCAAGCCTACAGTTTACCTTTTGGAGGCAGCAGTATTGTTTGGGTTAACCAGCATCAGATTCAAAGAGGATAAAAAAGAACTGATGGTGGATCTGACTAAGAAAGTTCAAACAACTAAAGCAGGAAGAGCAGCGAAGAATGTTCATCGGATCAAGACTAGTGATGCAGGTAGGCAGGTTTTTTGGTTGAGTAGTGTTGATCTGTCATTGGTAATTTTAACGACAGCTTTGTTGTAAATTATCTGTATTTTACTCTTTTCAGCTTCAAAGGTGTCTTCAAAAGTAGTCAAGGCAGACAAAAGTGTAAAAAAAGAAAACTCAGATATCAAAAAGGAAGAAGCTGCAGCCAAAGTAAAATCTGAGAATGGTGAGCTGGTGTAAACAATAAATAATGTTTTACTGATGTGTCAAGCTTCGAACCAGCATACAAGCTTTACTGGCTGGAAACACTGACAGTAGATCAAAATGGAATTTGGAATGTCAGTTTTTGAGAAAGGAGGACAACCCAAGAATTATATTTAGCGTTTTAACACTGTGAAAATGCCAATCTTTTACAGTATATGAAGAGCCTTCATTTTATAGCCACCCAAAAAAATGTTCATGGTTTGAGTGTCCTCACTGTAAACCCCGCTTATGATGACAATCCAAGATTCTCAGCCACATTGATGGTAAGCGAGAACTCTTGTCACTGTCCCACTCTAATCCTCTGCTTGAGTGGATGCAAATTCGAAGCTAATTATTCCATTAAAAAAAAATTATATAATTTATTTGAAAATGTTACATAGCCACATGAACACTGTATATTACTGGTATTGTTTCAAAAATGTGCAAGTTGGCTCTTCCATTGCTTAAAGACAAGAAATAACTACGGTGGAATCCTATTTTCATTGGTATATTACCAGAACATTTTTTTACGCTCTATGTACTATTTACTAGGTGAAGTGAAGTCACTTGTGTTCAGTGGTAGGGCCCCAGTTGATAGTTTGTGTGGCATAAAGGACAACACCCATGTGTTTACTGAGGGTGACGATATCTGGGATGTGATGCTTAACCAGGTCAGTCTCAAGCTACAGTATCTCTTGTTGCTCATGCATTTATTAAATATTGCTCTCATAAGTCATACAAAATATGCTGATAATTGCTATAAAATACAGGGTATTGCTTAACCAAGGATCTAGTGTTCTTTTTTTAATTGCTCACTGCATATAAAAGTGATGGGAGGAGAGAGGGATTTTCAGGGGTTTAAACTTTTTATGAAGAGGGATGGTGTGGATACTGCTAGTTCAGGTTTGTCAAAAGTGAGTGGTAGGTAAAGTAATACAAGCCAAGTGGCCCATCAGGCCAGAGCTACCCCCAGAGTTAAATTCCGCAGTACCCATTTGCTTACCTGGGTGGAGAGAGGCACTGGAGGAGTTAAGTGCCTCGCCCAAGAACACAACAAATTGACCCTGGCCAGCACTCAACGCTGACCGCTCAATCGAGAGTGAAGCGCACTAACCAGAAGGCCACTGCTCCTCCACTGGCTTCCAGTGAAAACCACTGTATACTTCATGACCTCAGCTGGCTGGCTACTCTGGTAAGCAGGTATTTTCATCTGATTCTTAAAGCAAAAGATGGCAAAATCAGCTGCCCACATGTACTCCAAAAATAACGCAAAATCATACTTCTCCAGTCACTTCTGTGGTTGTAAGATTTTGAGAGTGCTTTTAGGGTGACTGGTGTTGACAGGTACTTTTTGTGTTTTAAACAGTTTGACATTGTATACTTTTGTTACATGTATGATGTATAATGAATGCCTACTGTATTTGTTTATTTTTATCTCACAGCATCATTCGATGGGGAAGTAATTAATTTTTCAAACTGTGGGCAGCTTATAGCTTAAAATGTCCAGTGCTATGTTATTAATAATAATTACTCGGCATGTACTGTTATGATTCTTTACAGACAAATGTCATGAATAACAATAATAAGTACTATCTCATCCAATTGTTGGAGGACAACCGAGCCAAGAAGTATTATGTCTGGCAAAGATGGGGGAGAGGTACAGAAAATCTTATCTGAGTACTACCATGTCACAGGTGAAATTCTAATTGTAGTCCAACCTGTACAAAATTTGCACTGAGATCTTGCTGAGATTTTGGCATGATTCTTTGTGACTTTTTTACTGCCATAATTTTCTTGTCTCAGTGAGATCACAGAGAGATTCTTGCCATGATTTTTGCAATCTTGTTGAGATCTCACTAAACTTGCCAACATCTCTGTAATCTGGATGAAACCACTGTGGTCTTTGCATGATCTTTGTAGTCTTAATCAGACTCACATCTTGACCATCCAGTCTTGACAAGGACCAAAACACAATGACATTAGCCTGGGCTTGAATATGGACCGTTGGATCTCAATTCCATTGGACTTACATGAGTGTAAACCATTCAGTCATTTCTGTTCCTGCAGAAAATAATGTTATTAAATTCCCAGAGTGTGGATCTGTAAAACTATTCTGACCATTCTTTTAAAAGCTAGTTAATTTTTATTTTATTGTTTTCCATTTCATTTTTTATTATTTGTCTGTTGCTGTTGTCTACATTTTGTGTTTATCTTTCAGTTGGGTTCAGTGGTCAAAACAACTTAGTTACATGTGGAGCAGATCTTGAGGAGGCTAAAAAGGTTTTTACAAAAAAGTAAGTCTGGTTTGTGAAATAATTTTTATTTGATATATCAGGATTGTGTTATTTTAAAAATAGATTACAGAGGTAATGACAACACTGAGAAAGATGAAAAGGTCAGGGATGCTTGACACCAATGTGGGCGTGGCTCAATTTTTGTCCCCTTAAAGATATCACTTAAAATGATATGACCATTTTATTAACTTTTTTGAGAACAACCTAACAAAGAAACTCTGACAGCTGAAATACTGGCCTTTTGTCTTGAACATCCTAAGTGAGACCAAAATCCTTGACTTACACCCCTTAGCAAGACAATTTAATGCACTCAACCTTTTCATATAGGAATTCCCCTTGGGCAGGGCTTTGCTCTCTCTAAATTATTGTAAGTTATAAAGTGTAGTTCACAAAATAATGCAAATTTGCTGTCGGGCCTAATAAGTTATTAGATATTATTGGAAAGATCTGTGCACTCAGAGATTTAGGTGGCTTAATTAGTCTTTCAAGGATTACTTTTCAGAAGTGCATGTTATGATCATATGCTGTAAAATATGTTTTTCTCAGATTCACAGATAAAACAAAAAATCACTGGGAAGATAGACAAAACTTTCAAAAAGTTCCAGGAAAGTATGACCTTCTGATCATGGACTACAATGCTGATCAGGAGGAGAAGGATGCTGTTGATGCACCCATCAAAGAAGAAAAACCTGTGTTAGAAAGCAAGTTAGACAAGAGAATCCAGAACTTGATAGAACTCATTTGCAATGTACAGGCCATGGAGGAGATGCTGAAAGAGATGAAGTATGATACAAAGAAAGCACCTCTTGGTTAGTTAACATCATGTATTTTCCTATGAAGTAATATTACAACAGGTTGAAACAGTCCCCAAGGAATGGCCAAGGGGTACCCAGGGCTCAAAAATGTGCTGTGTGGTTGCCTTGGACCCATGTACATGTAGTAGATTTTCCAGTCAGGCAAGTAACGTTTTGTTATCACTTGTCCGATGGGTAAGAACCCAGGCAAGCTCTCTGCTGGCTAAATTATAATTATTTTGAAACAAAAGAAAAAAGTGGAAAAACTTAGGCAAGCACATACCTTCCATTTGTGAGTCGCTGGTCCAAAGGGCAAGCAGGAATTCTGACTAGTGTTTTTTTCAAGCCCTACTTGAAGCTGTTCTGACCTGGTAAAGAGAACATGGTTAAAAGATAATGGGTTAACTTTCAGGAATTTAGTTGATACACCTGACACCATTGTTCTCTTTGATTGTGGCTTGTCTCCTTAAAACATGCACCACCTTCAATTTGCTACATTTTTAGAAAAAAGCTTCAAATCTTTTTGCTCCCATAAAAAAAGTAGAAAGGATGTTCATATATAAAGTAAGAGAAAGTGGCATTACATCATGGGTGTTGGGCGGCCTACTGGGTAGTACATTGGGTTTGATCAGTCAAGGTTACATTCATTGACAGAAATGTAATATTGTTAAACTCAATCACTTTTTATAGGAAAGCTTACCACAGATCAGATCAAGGCTGGTTATGAGGCATTGAAGAGGATTGATACCTGCATCAGAAACAATGACTTTGGCTCTAAACTGGTGAAAGCATGTGATGAATTTTACACAAGGATTCCTCATTGTTTTGGGTATGTCTCAGATACAATTTTGGAAATACCAAGAATTAAAGAGTCCCTTAAAAGCTGGTTTTCAAAATAAATTGTACCTACTGAAGTATGAAAGGCACCCAGTGCATTCAGAGATTTATAAAACTAGAGCCTTTTGTGTGGATTCATTTGTCTGTCTGTCTGTCTGTCCAACCCTCCTGACTTACATCATGATTTTTACTCTTTCCCTAGAATGAAAAGACCACCACTAATAAGAACGACAGAGGAAGTCAAGATCAAGTTGGACTTGTTAGAGGCATGTTACAAAAAAATCATACTTTTAAAATTATTCATTTAACTCAGGTCAGTTACCTGTGGTGCACAGAACACAATATAGAAATATCATCACATTTTAACACATTTTAAATAAAGAATAAATATAACACTGTCATAATAGCTATAGTGAGTGAGTTGGGATCATCCAAATAGCAAAGCTACATTGAATCATTAAGGCTTTATTTGTTTATTTGCTTGATTTTTTTGTGTACTTTGTAACAACAAAACAGAATAAAACTGGTCGCTTGAAGGATTCTAAAAGTGCATTTTTGATAAAATGAACCTTCTTACTGTTCATTTATTACAGTGTACATGACTAATAAATGCTTACCGTGTTATAACAATTGCCAGGCATCAATTGGCAATGTAGTTCTGTCTGTGGTGTTGTTTAGTCTGATTAGACTGACTACAAAGTGCTGTTTAACACTAAAGTGTTATTAAATTTTTGCAACTTTTGTTTAATGGAGACTG